GTGTGTCACCTGTGTCACCTGTGTGTGTGTGTCACCTGTGTCAGTGTGTGTGTCACCTGTGTGTGTCACTGTGTCACCTGTGTCACCTGTGTCACCTGTGTGTGTCACTGTGTCAGTGTGTGTGTCACCTGTGTGTCATTGTGTGTGTCACTGTGTCACTGTGTCACCTGTGTCACCTGTGTGTGTCACTGTGTGTGTCACCTGTGTGTGTCCCTGTGTGTGTCCCTGTGTGTGTCACCTGTGTGTGTCCCTGTGTGTGTCCCTGTGTGTGTCACCTGTGTGTGTCCCTGTGTGTGTCCCTGTGTGTGTCACCTGTGTGTGTCCCTGTGTGTGTCCCTGTGTGTGTCACCTGTGTGTGTCCCTGTGTGTGTCCCTGTGTGTGTCACCTGTGTGTGTCCCTGTGTGTGTCCCTGTGTGTGTCACCTGTGTGTGTCCCTGTGTGTGTCCCTGTGTGTGTCACCTGTGTGTGTCCCTGTGTGTGTCCCTGTGTGTGTCACCTGTGTGTGTCCCTGTGTGTGTCCCTGTGTGTGTCACCTGTGTGTGTCCCTGTGTGTGTCCCTGTGTGTGTCACCTGTGTGTGTCCCTGTGTGTGTCCCTGTGTGTGTCACCTGTGTGTGTCCCTGTGTGTGTCCCTGTGTGTGTCACCTGTGTCACCTGTCTGTGTCCCTGTGTGTGTCCCCGTGTCACTGTCCCACAGCCTCATCCCAAGGGAACATCCCGGGAACATCCCAGCCCCCATCCCTGTGCCGGGACGAGGATCCGGCATGGATGGGTTTGGGGATTTGTTTTGGATGGATTTTGGCTGGATTTGGGATCTATTTGGGATGTGTTTTGGGATCCAGCTGGGATCTCCCGCTGCTTTTCCATCCCTCGGTTCCATCCCCACGTTCCCGCTCCAGGCTCCTCCGGCCCCGCTGCTCACGGCAGGGCCGCGCTCCGGGCGGATCCCGGGGATCCCGGTGATCCCGGTGATCCCGGGATCCAGCAGGAGCTCGTTCCCAGTGATCCCGGGATCCAACAGGAGCTCCTTCCCGGTGATCCCGGGATCCAGCAGGAGCTCACTCCCGGCTCCTCTTGCAGGGCCATCAAGAACGGGAAGGGGCTGCACAGCAAGAAGGAGGTGCCGATCCACAGGGTGGCCGACATCTCCGGAGTAAGGATCCAAACGGGATAAAACCCGCGGGGAGAAACGGGATAAAATCCACAGGGATAAATGGGATAAAAGCCACAGGGATAAAATCCACAGGGAGAAACGGGATAAAACCCACAGGGACAAAACCCACGGGGAGAAACGGGATAAAACCTGCGGGGATAAAGAGGATAAAAGCCACAGGGATAAAACCCGCGGGGAGAAACGGGATAAAATCCACAGGGATAAATGGGATAAAACCCACAGGGATAAACGGGATAAAACCCATGGGGATAAACGGGATAAAACCCATGGGGATAAACGGGATAAAACCCATGGGGATAAACGGGATAAAACCCATGGGGATAAACGGGATAAAACCCATGGGGATAAACGGGATAAAACCCATGGGGATAAACGGGATAAAACCCATGGGGATAAATGGGATAAAACCCACAGGGATAAACAGGATAAAACCTGTGGGGAGAAACGGGATAAAACCCGAGGGGACAGACGGGATAAAACCCACAGGGATAAAACCCACAGGGATAAACGGGATAAAACCCATGGGGATAAATGGGATAAAACCCACAGGGATAAAATCCACAGGGAGAAATGGGATAAAACCCACAAGGATAAAACCCACGGGGATAAAATCCACAGGGATAAACAGGATAAAACCCGTGGGGACAAACGGGATAAAACCCTCAGGGATAAAACCCACAGGAATAAATGGGATAAAACCCCTGGGAATAAACGGGATAAAAGCCACAGGGATAAAACCCGTGGGGATAAACGGGATAAAACCCGTGGGAATAAACGGGATAAAAGCCACAGGGATAAAACCGGTGGGAATAAACGGGATAAAAGCCACAGGGATAAAACCCCTGGGAATAAACGGGATAAAAGCCACAGGGATAAAACCCACGGGAATAAATGGGATAAAACCCGTGGGAATAAACAGGATAAAAGCCACAGGGATAAAACCGGTGGGAATAAACGGGATAAAAGCCACAGGGATAAAACCCGTGGGAATAAACGGGATAAAACCCCCAGGGATAAAACCCGTGGGAATAAACGGGATAAAAGCCTCCCGGCGCCGTTTCCCGGGAGCTCCGGGGTTGTTCCCGTTTCCCCTCGGGTCAATAAACCGGGAGCTGCCCCAGAGCCCGGGAGCCAGCACCGGAATGCCGGTGGGAATCTGGAATGCCGGTGGGAATCTGGAATGCCGGTGGGAATCTGGAATGCCGGCGGGAATCTGGAATGCTGGTGGGAATCTGGAATGCCGGTGGGAATCTGGAATGCCGGTGGGAATCTGGGATTCCTCGGCTCTGCTGAAGGGATCTGGGGATCCCCACACCTCCCGGCAGAGCTCGTTAAGTTTTCCTCCGTTAATTAACGTTTCCAAGGATTTCTCTGGAGCCCTTGGCTGCAGGGATGGGATGGGATGGGATGGGATGGGATGGGATGGGATCCATGGGATGGGATGGGATGGCA